GTTTTATTCTAATTTTGCTGCTAGATTAACGCTCCAAGTATGCCGAATGAGTGAAGAGCCGATGAGTCATCACTCGCCGCGAGCCGCGTGGCCCCTCCCAACTACGTTAGCACCAGTATTTGTTAGTAAGGAAACCTGGAACTTGTATCTTCGAAATGTGCGAAACAGTTGGAGAAAGAGGTCGCATTTGGACCAAAAAAACTTTCTGACTGTTGATTTGTCCCGTTCTGCTGGGCTGCCGACTAGCAAATGTTATACGTTCCTTGTCGATGGCCCATCCAACTTAGTCAGGGTACATCGTGGTGGGGAAATTCCCAACAGGGGGGTCGTATTGGCCGCCAGGAGAGGGGGGTCGTATTTGGGCTGGGAAAAATTTATTTTGATAGTTGATTTTTCTCGCTTCACGGACGTTGTAAAGGGGAGGAGTCGTACTTGGTTATCGTTGGGGGGGTCGTATAGACTGGGCTAAATCCCCAACCAATGATGTGCCCTGGCCATGATAGTCGATAGAGTTCGTTCGCTTTGTCGCCTGTCTGATCATGGAGATTTTGCTAACCAGTACGCCTCGTTCCTGACATATCTGCAGCAGCAAAAAGAACACCAGTTTTGTCATTATATGGAGGAAACCTGGTACTGGTTTTACCTCAGTTCTGGTGTACGTAGGCTATATTTATATGATTTAGGAGTCACAGAGTCGAGCAATGGTTAGGATTCGCGAGAGGTAATGCTTGTATGAACACGTCGATGCTAGAACGCTTTCATAAAAGGCTGAAACATGAACTGCCAGATGCTAAACCCAACATGCGCTTCAATCGCGTTCTAGAGATAATCATTTCCCTCACTTCGGAGATGGACGAGGATCACAGCATCAAGGTGGTAGGATTGCTCCGTAGGTTTTGACTATCTTAGACGCTTAAGTTTTTCCTCTTAGATGCAGAGAGGCTTGTTCGAGGGCGGTATCGCCTCAGAAAGCAACATCGTCAGCGCGAGAAAGCCGTCAAATGGTTCCGAAAAAAACAGGAGGATGTCCGGGTGGTGGCGAGCGGGCAGTGGAAAGTGATTAAAGGAGCGATCCACAACGTGTCTTACTCTAAAAGTCGCGAAGATTCCTGATCTGGAAGTCAATGCTTGTCTCGAAGATGTACTCGATTCTATGAGAGATACCAGACGTCAGACTGATGAATTTGTTAAGAGGTGCCCGAGTCAGACAAAACAAATTTCTAAACGTGCAGAATTTCCACAAAGCGGAGGTGTGCGCCGTCATTCTCCAATTCGTAAACTACAACCGGTTAGTTTCTTAAACGCATGGTTTGAAAGCAATTGAGTCTCGTTTCTTGCAGAGGTCGTCTCAGAAGAAGAAGCAAGATACACAGAAAGAGCAGGAAACGCTTCCTTCATATGCTCAAGACGATGTGAACTTTTGCGCGGTCTGCTTCCTGCGAGACCCGAAAAACCCCACTGACAAGGAGAAACCCTGTGGTTAAATTGCGACGTTTGCGGAAGATGGGCACATGAAGACTGCTGTCAGGAGGGCTCTAAATGCCCATTCGATGATGGTTCGTTTTCCTGTTCCCTTGGGGAAGATCGGGAGTAGGTATGGTAGGCATAAATTGGAAACGCTCTTTTTGACGAAAACAAGGATTGAAAGTTTTTAGGTAACTGCGTCAGCGTCAGCCCTTACGCTTTATGATTCATTGAGTACTTCTTGGAATTTCTATCACTTTGCACGGTGCACTGCATATCTGACTACCTAGAGTCCTTTAGGAAAGCCGAGCTATCCAATGAGGTCATGTTTACTGGTGCTCATATGCTATTTTCTGTACTCATATGTAGTACTTCGATAATACATCCATTCCTTTATTTGGTACTCTACCTCCTCACAATTGCTTTATTGGATCTGGAAACTCACTTAACCTTCAGATCACAATATGATGTAGTCTCATAGTATTGTAGTATATATATGTGTACAGTATTATGTCAGTCCGTATTATTTCCTTCTATCTCGTACATTTCCGCGTGTGTTCCATGGAAATTGCCTTCGTTACATGAATATAAAGGTTCGACTGAGTTTGAGGCTTCGAGCATCTGCAGGAATTTCATGAGCAGACGATGTGGAAAGGTATTCAACAACACGAAAAGATTGGTCAGAACATGAACAATTTCCCATCACGAATGTTTGATCTGTAGTGCGAAATCAGAAGAGACAACAGTAGATTATAGTGGGAGCTGGGTCCTACTGATGCCCCCTGTGCAATTATTATTTTTGAAGCATTTCGAAAAGAGCCTTGAAATAACGTCTGAGGCTGTTCCTACAAACTGCCATCAGAAAAGTTCCAGTTCATCCGCGCGAAATCAGAAGAGACAGTAGAAAATAGTGGTTGCTGTGTCCTAGTGACACGCTCATGCAATCATTATTTTTGCATTATTTGGAAAACTGAAAACTGAACTCGAAAAGAAGAAATTCAAAAGACCTCTACTCAATCGAAAGTTTCAATAGATTTCTACCTAAACCGAAAACTCAATTCGAAAAGAACCGACTCAAAAGATTTCTATTCAATTGAAAGTTTCAAAATATTTTTACCCAAAGTGAAAACTGAACTCGAAAAGAACAGACTCAAAATATTCTCAGTTGAAAGTTTCGATAGACTTCTACCTAAACTGAAATGACTCGAAAAGAACAGACTCACAGATTTCTACTCAATCGAAATTCTATAGATCTCCGCTTAATCGAAAATGCATGCAAAACCAAAAAAAAACACAATCGCTACTCGCCCTTAAGTCACGAAGGCAAGTTTTGACGTTGCTGTCGTGAGATACTGTGTTTGGTGTGCACCCATTTATTTACGGCTCATTTGGGTTACGGTGTACGATTGTTCGCCTACTGAAGTTACCGTACTGTACCGCCAGACTCTTCGCCCAACCGCCAGTCGATACGTATCGAAAGCTTTTCGCCGAACCGCCGCGTTCCAGAGAAACGCTGGACCGCAGACTGTGAACAATGCCTAAGCATCCGGCACTGTGACGAAGTTTGGCGAAGGAAGTGATCTCTGGGGTCCCAAAGCAAAGTTACTGTAACTCCTTGTAATGTGCGCATAAAGATAGGAAGAGACAAAATTGGCTTTCATTCCCTGCTTTATTTTTTAGTCGACTTTGTGGCGATCGGGTCTTTGAATTTAACTTGATTCATCATTTTTGCATATCGTAGTGGTTATAACCATGGTTCGGCTGTCAATATCAAAATGTAAAAATGGCATAGCTTAATAGTGCAGCGCGAAATGGCCTTCCTTTTTCTGCGAAAATAATGACATAGATGAATTGATTCTTTGATAATATTTGTTTTCATAGTGAAGGTAACTCGTCACATGGACCGTATTTGTAATTCTTTTGATGTTGGTGATGCTGTAATGCATTCCCACCTGCATTTGGGTAAAGAGTGATCAGGTCTTTGCGCTGATAGAGCTATACAGCTTAGTTAGTAAAAAAATTGTAATTCGAATTACACCACATGAAGGTAGTTCGTTGTTCTCCATAGTTCAAGGTATATTAGGTTGTTGCATAAGTTCTTCCCCCGACTTTTTTGTAAATATCTCAATAGCGAACCAGCCTGAAGATTAGAGGTATGCACCATCACCATCCACTACTCGACGCCAACGCTCAGGCAGCTTGTCGATTCCATCGTCCCAGAAGGACGGGGGCTGGGACCCGAAGAAGGCCACAATGCCGCACAATCACCACTGTGACATGGTTTTGCACTGGTAATTGTGCGGCATTGTAGCCTGCAAATGCAGGGTGGGTGAGTGATAGCTAGTGTGGTGAAAGAGTATCATGTACACGTCACGCACACGTGATGACGAAATACCAACCTCCATGCAAACGAAATACGGAAGGATCAAAACAGGGGGAAAAACTTATGCAACAACCTAATAGTAGTGAGACTCGAAGACGATAGGGAGGGGGTGGGGTGAGAAGTGGGATTGAGTTTGATCCGTTGTGGCATGTGATCAGGTCACGTCATCGTGGTGGAAATGTCAACAAGGTGGGGTGGGATCGTATTTGGCCGCGACGGAGAGGGTCGTAAGCACAGACCGTATTCAGAAGTGGGAAGAGCAGTGATGCCCGCATGTTGTCAGCCATCGAGTGACAGGTTCATTCATGGTTCGTTCATGGTTCTTGTCGAGTAGTCAGGTGTTATACTTGACAAGAACCTGAAGAAATAGCTGAAGACAGAGGGAAACTCAGAAGCGGATAAAGTTAGTGACAACAAGTACGTTGGCCGCTCGCAGCGACGTCATATTAATAAACAAACGAAGCACAGTATGCTCAGACCTTTCTGAACCGTAAGGGCGTATCTGCTTACATCTGCTTACACGGAAAAGCCTTATCTACAAGTTGCTCCTCTCCAACAGCTCTGAGGGAGTAGCATGCATTGCGCAATACCGAGGTGTTACGTCAGTCGGCGCTGATTGAACTATTTCATCTTGTTATTAGGTTGTCCGGAAAGTTCTCAGCGTTTTGTGTTACTATTTTTTGTACATTCATTGCTGATTAAAAACTCATTCTCCCTTGCGTCTCAGTAGTACATCCTGAAGAGAATTTTTGCGCTATCTGATGGTATAATTGCCGTTTCACCATTGCTTGATAAACCCCCTTTTCCAAGAATTTTTGAAGCATGTGACGATATTTTTCTTCAACTAAAAATTGGGTCAATCCGCAGTCGAGACAGCTCGACAAATTAACCAGGTGTGGGGGCCCAATAGTGGCACCGTGCGACAATGGTTCGACAAATTTCGTTCTGGAGATTTCAGCCTTGAATGAACCTCGTAGCGGTCGACCTAAAGCAATACCTGACGAGGATTTGAAGGCGTTTGTGGAGGCTGACCCATCCCAAACAGTTCGAGAGATTGCAGAAAAGCTAGGCGTTGGCAAATCCACTGTTGCGGATGGTCTGAAAACGCATTGGAGGCACCAAGGTGCGAAAAACGTCGGACGCCAAGTGTGTTGCCCCCACAATTCGACGTGGCCGGGCAGAAATTTGCCACGTCTCGAAGGTTTCTTCTTCACTGCTTTTGCGCAACAGAAACGACCCGTTTTTGGACCGAATTGTCACCTGTGATGAAAAGTGGATCATGTAACAGGAGACGTTCCGGACAGTGGTTGGATGCCGACGAACCACCGAGGCAATTTCCAAAGCCGAATCCTCACGAAAAAAAGATTCTGGTCACGGTTTGGTGGTCATCGGCTGGTGTGATCCACTATAACTTTTTGTCACCAGGCCAAACCATCACAGCAGAGTCCTACTGTGAAGAAATCGACGAAATGTACCGAAAATTGCGTCAGCTGCAGCCAGCACTTGTCAACAGAAAGGGTCCGATTCTTTTGCATGACAACGCCCGCCCACACGTTTCACAAATCACTATCCATAAATTGAACGAATTGGGGGTTGAAGTTCTACCTCACCCACCATATTCTCCAGACCTTTCACCAACCGACTATCACCTTTTCAAACATTTTCAGAACTTCCTTGCTGGAAAATACTTCATCAATCAGGACCAGGCAAAAAAGCCTTGGATTTCGTGGATTCTCGACCACCCAGTTTTTTCTTTGATGGGATTTATCGACTGGTGTCACATTGGCAAAAGTGTGCTGATTCGAACGGTGCTTATTTCGATTAAATCCGATGAGTATTAAGAAAGTTATGATCGTTTAAAGTGAAACACTCAAAACGCTGAGAACTTTCCGGTCTAATAACTTTGACGAAGAGTTGTGTCCTAGGAACTAATCGAGTTTTCGAGCGAACTGGAAGTGCTATTGCTGGAGGGGGCGGTTTTTAGAATCCCCGAAACTGTCGCAACAAAGATAACAAGAAAATTCTTAGGGTGTGGAGTAGGGACAAATGTAGTGCTTTTCTGATAGCGGAAATCTTCTAGATTCCCATGCTGTTTTCGGTTTCACAAGCAATCTCATATGAAGGAAGTTATTTCTGTTCCAAGCTTCAAAACATTGGTGGTACTAAATTTCAACAACGATGTCATATTGAAAGGAAGATGTTAGGAATGACTTGAGTAGAATCAATCAAAGGTACGGTCCCCGATCAGATATAGAGGTTGAAAATATGGCGTCGGGAGGGTAGTGCGGTAACACGAATAAACATGTACCAGTCTTACGGCAAATAACTGTAAGGGAAAAACGCTGTGGCGCAATATAGGTCCAGTGACGCCTCCTTTTTTTCCAGTGACTCCGCCCCAGAACTCCGCCTTCAAGGCCTGTCTTTAGGCAAAAAAAACGAAGCTGCAGACAAAGCATGAAAATCGTCACTTGTACGGTCGTAGAGTTCTTATCGGGGAATCAGCTGTGCGATGAGGGCGTAGTGTTGGAGATGGAGTTAATTGGGCACGTACAAACTGGGATCGGAAATGGGGTTCTATCTAGGGCAGTTGGCCCTTTGATTCTACTTTTTTCTTCACTATCGAGTTGCCCAGCAGACACTATCTGAGATGGCGAAAGATCACGGATGTTGCCTTCAACGGCGAACTTATGGTTAGAGCTTCACGACTCTGCTGTTTCACAAGCTCTTCTCTCAGAAAACTCATGAGTGTTTAGGAAAGGGTACTTCTTCAGTTTCTGACACGCTTCGCAAAATATCGCTAAATAAAGTGTTCCAATGCAAGTGTAAAAAGCGTTTCGAATGTACATGTGTAAGTTCTGAATGCGCGCAGACCTTTAAAACTCGAAATCCAATTCGATATTGTTTGTTTTTTGTCTCTTTTTGTCGTTTTTCAGGAGGTGGGAGTGGTATAATGACAAGTGGCACGCTTACCACTTGCGCGAGCCGAGGGTCAAATCTTGGACTGGCTATCGCCCAAACAACCAACTTCTGCCCTCCGTGTACAATATGATAACAGACCTGTATGGAAGCATAAGAACAGCGACTTGTTCATTGGCTGGCACCCGCAAGTCATTGTATAGGCCACATCGCATTCAATAAGCCACTACGATTCTGAATGGAAGTAGAATGCGTGCCGCATCCCACAAAGGGATTGATCAACCACAGGCAAGAGCCTTATCCTATTATCCTTTTGTTCGTACCGAGACCCCGCTTCCGGTGGGGGAGGGGAGGGAAGGTCGCACTCAGCAAAAGAAGTTTTACGCGACGTGATGGCGTGCTCTGCAGGTGATTTAACATAAATCATAATTAATGTTTTATTATTGCGGATAACCGCGCTAGAATCAGCAGTATCATTGCTGGAAACATCACCTTATGAACATTGCTTGCCGAAAAGTGAACAGAGTCGCTTGTCGTTGATCCCTCCTCTGATGGACGACCACTTGATCGACGTGTGGCGAGCATCCTCTGCATATTCGTACAAGTTGCTCCGAACTCTACCCTAAGCTTTATTCTCGCTCGTTAACACCGTCTGCTACTCCATTCTTCAGAGCACAGTATTCTTCGAGGGTAAAGTTTCTGAAGTCGATGTTGATCTTACCTATGCTAGGATGCGCCACACATTTTCATTCAGACTCGTAGTGGCACTGTGAAAGTGATTTGGTCCAAGGAGGGCTTGCGGGCCAAAAGATGTACTAGTTAGTGCCTCGATCCTCTTAGTTGACTTGACGCCAGTAAATTACGGAACAGGGGGACAAATTGGTTGACCTGGGCCAAAGCTAATCCGAGGTTCTTGCCTCGGACCGTGAACTCGTCGAGCGGCATGCTTCTTTTCCCCCCACGCCACTCCTGTCCATGTCACTGAATATCGCTAAAAACGGAGAATTTTCGCCCCTCCATTCAACGACTATTGAGGCTAATGAGGCAACATCCGAATTACTTCAGTGTAGCCTTTTTCCAGCATGTTACTTCGACAGAACTTCAGGAATTCCTGAAAATTCACTTCCTCCAATGAGTCGAACAGCAGTGACTTAGCGCGGTTTTTGATCACATTTTTTCGGTGTTATATGATCACATGTCTTTTCAAGAAACTATGGTATATTTATTATTACAGTTATTATTATTAGGGCAATATTATTAATCTAGCCTTCAACATCATAAAGCGTGGCTTTAGCTCATTGAGCTCACTGTGGAGGAGAAAATTGGATTGCAAGATTGCTGTCCTTATTCTGATCCAGGGCGCCTCCAACATAGAGCGGATCGTAGCCGGGAACTCCAACCACAACTCCCATTCCGCCTCCTTCTCGATCCCTCAACGCGGAATACGACGTCAGATCGCCCTAAAAAAGTGCACGCAGGATCTTCTTGAAGCGTTGTAAGCAGCCAATTACTTCTCAATTGCTGTCTGGGGAGAAAACCATAAAATTAATGAAATACAGAGCTACTGCTGACCAGATTCATAAGTTGTTGGTGGAGAGGCTTCCTCTGCTCTCGGAGATAGTGTGCTTTTGTTCGGTGATATTGAAGCAGAGCTCGCTCACAGTCACTCTCTGAACCCAGCGTACATATTCTGAAATTGATTGGACTAACGGTTCTTCGGATGGGAGAGTTATTCGATGCATTCTTTTCGGTTACAAGTATCAAGTCGGTACAATTGGATTGAGTAGCGACAAAGTTCGTATTGAAGGCGCGGTCCGCGATCAGCTGTAGAAGCTGAAAATATGGTGTCGGGAGGGTAGTGTGGTTCCGCGGCGAACAACCTGTACCGGTTTTGTGGCAAAAAATTGTAAGGGAGGGGCGCTATAGTGCAATATAAGCTCAGTGATTCCTCGCCTCCAGACTCCGCCTTCAAGGCCCGACTTTCAGCGAAAGACGTAACTGCAGGACGAAATCATACTCTATATATAAAGTAGAAGTTCTCCGTGGCACCAATAAGAGAACAGGCTCCGCCCACTGGGCGGGGCCTATATTTAGCTGAGCGGTGTCACGGACGTAATCTCTTGAAAACGTTGTCAACAAAACTCTT